GTAGTAATTAATTACGTAGAGAAATAGAGTCTGATCTATAATGTATTGGACCACTTCAGATTAGTATGTTATTAATATTCTTTATAACTCTAACATATATTGTGTTTTTCAGGAACGGAGCTAGGACTGAAATAAGAGGGGGACTATGCAAATTATATCATACAAGTTTATTAGAAATAAGGGCTAAATTAACAAATTTAAATAAATTTTGATCTAAACCAAATGAAATATAGTGGAAAAGGTTTGAGCACAGGGGGGCCATGGCCCCTACCAGCCACTCCATGGTGTATTTCTTTTTTTTTTTTGGTCTAAGGCTTTATAATTTGGTTGTCATCTAGTAGATATTAGGACCATATATTTTTCTTTTCCTCTAATTAACATTGGGATTTTCTCAAAGTTCTTGATTTGATATACACTACTAAAAACACACATCATTATCGAAAAATATGTACCGTAATATGTAGAGCCTAAGACAAGTCGGTTGGTAACACGAACCAACATACATATATCTTCGACGCTAGCCAGCCTGTTGCGGTTCTCGAAGAAGCGGTTGGCGTATTCTCGAATAGTTTCACCCGTCCTTTGGTGGACTTGACCAAGTTTCTCCATGTTACCAGGTCGGCTATAGGTAGCCAGGTAATTCTGGGTGAAAGCTCTAGCGAGCTAACCCCAATTGTCGATGTTGTTCGGTGGAAGGTTCTCCGGCCATAGGAGCAGGGCGGGGCCCATTACCACTGGGAAGTAGGCGGCCATCTGGTCATAGGTGCCGTGGGCGGCTTTCACCGCGGTATTGTACGTGTTGAGCCAGATGGTGGGGTCGGAGAGACCATCGTACTTTTCGTTGATGGCCGTCTTAAATGTGGCCGGCCAATCGACAGCCCTAAGGCGTGGAGTGAAGGCGGCGAAGCCATCGATCACCGTGTCGTCGTCATCGTCGAGGTTGTATTTGACGGGTAGAGCCCTAGGACGTCTGCCGTTGTCGCACCTGGGCGGGTCGTAAGCGTCTTTCGGGGCGCCGTACATGCGGTTGTAGTTAGCGCGGCGACACATCTCATCTTCTTGGCGCCAACGGTCCTCGCGTTCTGCGTCGCGGTTGAGTCCAGGAGTGTCGTAGTCACGGTCATACTCGGTGTGGCGGTGGAGCTCAACCTCTTCCCATTCTTGGTGACGGTTATTGAGGTCGGGGCAGATGTCGCGGCGGTCGTGGAGGTCACGTAATTCTTCACGGAGATCACGTTGTCGACCTGGTCGGCCGCGGTCCTCATCATCGCCTCTCCTGCCGCGGTGGTGGTTGTTGTTGTCGTGCTGACGGTCGTCATTGGCGCTGTTGGCGGGTTGCTCCACCTCTTCTTTACGGATTGGCTCCATCCCACCTCCCGCGCGGTTGTCGCCTCTGTGGTGGCCGAACCTACTGTGCCCGGATCGGCTCCGGGAGTGTCGGGTAGCGGTGGACCGGGAGTGTGCGGGCCAGCTGTGGGCCTGCTCCTCGATCTTGGCGTTGGCGACTTGAAGATGCGCCCGGATCCGCCGGATTGCCTCCGAGTCTGGAAGGTTTTTTAGGTCAGCGAAGGCAGCCCCCCGATTAGCCTGGGTGTGGTGAAGACATTGTGGTCAGCCTCCTCGACGTCGGCTAGTAGATTATGGGCGTGCGCAGGGTGCCTGCGTCTAGCCCAGGCACCGTCCTTGTCGGTGTTGCCACAGTGGTAGCGCGGTGGTTGGCGCTGATCGCCTACTGCCTCCGCATTGGTAGCAGGTTGTTGCTGGTCATTGGCCTGCTCTTTTTGGCGCCGTGCCACGTGGTTCTAATTTCTAGCGTTGCGTCATGCTTCCTAAGAAGAGGTTTTGCCATCCCTGGGTGGCTCGTCGGCGGAGACCACAAAAGCTTTGCGATCTAGCATGGAGGAGTTGCTATCATTATCGCTTCCGTAGGAATTCGGCGTCAAGATGATGCGAGAGACCTGGAACTCACCACAGTCCTGAAACTGGGTGGGTTCGGGTGGGTTTCCAGATTGGATCTGGAAGGACTGCACGAGATTCGTGGAGAACGCAACAGCCGAGTTCCTCAAACCAAAGGGGATGAGGGAAGGACCCTGTGCCAACCTGGTTGAGCGTAGCGCCGCCTCAGAGAAATCTATGCACTCAACAATAGTGTTGCTGATGCGATCTAGCCCCGCGATCAGGTCGGAGGGCTTGGGTGGGCGGGTAGAAGCTAGGATGCTTGGAATCCTCAGAGAGAGAGAGAGAGAGATGGCCGACCTGCTGGGCAAGCAGCGTGATAATCCTTGGGTGGAGAACTTGTCCTGTCAGAGCAGATTCGATGGAAGTTGAGCTAGCGGTGGATGCCAAGTCGGCGGAAGATGCCGAGTCGACGAAAGAAGCGGTGGATCGGAATCCACCAGCATGATCCCAAAACGAAGCTGGATCGGGTTGGCGAGATAGTCCTTCATGCTCTCAGGGAAGACAACGCTGGGACAGGATGCCATCGAGCTCGCTAGGGAGGATCTCACAATCACCCCTACCTGGCGCGCTAACTATCGGATTTATAAGCCCGACAGTCCACTAGGGGGTTACTCAAGTGGTTAATTTTTAGGTGGAGACGATTGTGAAACCAAGAACTCGAAGGTGATCATGAGAACACAAGGGGCATGAGGGTTTTAGATAGATTCGGGCCTCCGAAGAGTAATACCCTACGCCCTGTATGCTTGGTGGCTTGTATTGCTTGAGAGATTCCGTGCCCTCGGGAGGCTCCCTGTATGCTTGGTGGCTTGTATTGCTTGAGAGATTTTCGTGCCCTCGGGAGGCTCCCTTGGCCATCTTATATAGGCTGACAAGCTATTGTTACAAGTCGGTTTGAATCTAATCTACTTGGTAGTTACATGGAAGGTAATCTAAGTCGGACAACAACACACATTGTGCAATATGCGGGCTGATTCGAATCGTCCGGCCTCCTCGGCATGTACTCCAAGTAACTTTATGTCCTTAGCCCGCATGCCCTGGTCAGGCGGGCCCACTTGTCAGGTCCGGCCAGTATCCTGGTCGGTGGGGATCCATGGGGTACCCGTATCCCTCACCTCATATGATGAGCCAATAAAAGTATGTAGTCGTCGGTTTGTATTATGAGTTCACTACCGGGAACGGGAGCTTTGTCGTGTGCCTAGGGCAACACGGCAAAGCCACGAATACACTCGGCAAAGGGTTTGCCGAGTGTAACACTCGGTAAAGGGCACTCGGCAAAAAATTCATCGGCAAACTAACTTTGCCGAGTGTTTTTCGTCGGACACTCGGCAAAGACATTGCCGAGTGTCCAAAAAACACTCGGCAAACATTTTTCGCAAGAAATAAAAAAAACAAATTGCCACCGCCTGCCGCCCACCATGGCCACCACGTCGCCACTAGCTGCCGCCCACCATGGCCACCACGCCGCCACGCCCGCTCCCGCCCCACGCCGGACGCCGCCCACCACCACACCACCCGCCGCCATGCCACCCGCTCACCACGCCGCACGCCACCCGCTGCCACGCCACCCGCCGGATCTAGGAGAGGGGAGGGGCGGCCGTCGGGATGCCGCCGGATCTGGGAGGGGAGGGGCCGCGGCCGGATATGGGGAAGGAGTGGAGGGGGCGGCGCTGGGAGAAGGGAGGGGCGGTGGCTCGAGGAAGGAGGGGTGGCCGGGCTGCCGCCGGATCCGGTCGGGAGGGGAGGGGCCACCGCCAGATCCGGCCAGGAGGGGAGGGGTCGCCGCCGGATCTAGGGAAGAAGTGGAGGGGGGCACGGGAGAATGGGAGGCGTGGCCGGGGAAGGAGGGGTGGCGGGATGGCGCCAGATCCGCCGGGAAGGGGGAGGGAGGATCGGATCCGGCGGGAGGGGGAGGGCCGCCGGTGGGGAGAAAGGAGGGGCAGCGAGGCGTGTCTGAGGAGAGAAGGGAGGGAAGCGGCTTGCTTGCAGCGTCTTGCGTCTTGTGAGAAGGGAGGGGCGTCAAGGGAGAAGGGGTGGGGGTGGTGAGGGGGGCGTGGGTGTGGCCAGGTTATAGTAGGAGTTTTTCTTTGTCGAGTGCCGGATGGGAGGCACTCGGCAAAGCTTTTTTTTTTTTTTCCTGCCTCTTTTTTACACAGTAAGTAATTTTTTTTTCTTTTGCTAAGTGTGCTAGATCTGGACACTCGGCAAAGTTTTTTTATTTTTTTTCTTCTCCTTCTTTCCCAGAAAAAAGATTTTATTTCTTTGCCGAGTATACTAGATTTGGGCACTCGGCGAAGTTTTTTTTTCATTTTTTTCTTCTCCTTCTTTCTCAGAAAAAAGATTTTATTTCTTTGTCGAGTGCAAAAAAGAAAACACTCGGCAAACCCCCTCTTTGCCGAGTGTTTTTTTTACACTCGGTAAATCTCCTCTTTACCGAGTGTTTTTAGCGCAGCACTCGGCAAAGAACTTGTTTGCTGAGTGCGCGAGAGAATACATTCGGTAAACATAAAAACACTCGGCAAATTTAACGTTTCCGGTAGTGGTCGGCATGTAGTGGTTGGCATGGATAGTTTCTCTCATTCATAATTTAAGTTACAACTTGTCCTAAAAATTCATAACTAATTCATACTGACTAACATGGAGATAACTTAGGACATGTTTGTTTGAGGTACAACTTTTAGAGCTTTTCTAAAAAAACTATTGCTGAGTTTTACTTCTTAAAAAGCTAATAACAGTTTTTAGAAGATGTTTTTAGCTTTCTGTGCTCATAAAGCTACGAAACTAAGCTTTTCAGTTTTTCATATAAACTCAACTTTTCTAAATAATATTTTGAAAAAAAACAAGTCAACTTTCGATCATGTTACACCAAATAGAAACGGGCACTGTTCTCCAAACTTCTTGTTGAAATGTCAAGGCGTGATTTTTTACTTCTTGTTGCTGCATCCCGCCATCCATACTATAAATAGCAACGGCTGGCATATATCATGCCACCCACAATTTAAACTACTAGCAACCAAACGTGCCAAAAAAAGTAGCTAGCCGCTATGGAAGGCATAGTGCTCCTCGTCTTGTCCGTGTTCATGCTTCTCGTCGTCCTCTCCAAGCTCAAGTCCCTGCTCGTCGCGAAACCAAAGCATAACCTGCCCCCAGGGCCGTGGACGCTTCCGGTGATCGGCAGCCTCCACCACCTCGTCGCCGGCACCAACATCCACCGCGTCATGCGCAGGCTGGCGCAGAAGCACGGGTCGCTCATGACGCTCCGGCTCGGCGAGGTGCCGGCACTGGTAGTGTCGTCGCCACAGGCCGCGGAGGAGGTCATGAAGACGCACGACGTCACGTTCTCCGATCGGCACGTGAACGCCACGCTCAGCGTGCTCGCCTTCGACTGCAAGGACGTCGCGTTCGCGCCCTACGGCGAGCGGTGGCGCCAGCTCGGCAAGATCTGCGTGCTGGAGCTGCTCAGCGCCTCCCGGGTGCAGTCGTTCCGGCGCATCCGCGAGGACGAGGCTGCGCGGTTCATGGAGAACCTCGCCGCGTCCGCCGGCGCCGGCGCCGCCGCCGTCAACCTGTCCAAGATGATCTCTAGGTTCATCAACGACACCTTCGTGAGGGAGTCGGTGGGCAGCCGGTGCAAGTACCAAGACGAGTACCTCGACGCACTCGGCACGGCGTTGCGGCAGACGTCAGGGCTCGCCGTCGCCGACCTCTTCCCGTCTTCGAGGCTCGTGCAGGTTCTTGACACGGCGCCGCGTAAGGTGCTCGCGTGCCGGGACAGGATGCAGCGCATCCTCGAGCAGGTCATACAGGACACAAAGGAAGACGTGGACCGCGGTGGCGAGGCGGCGGCGGCCGGGACCGGCAGAGAGGGCTTCGTCGGCGTCCTGCTAAGGCTCCAGAAGGAACGCAGCACGCCGATCCCGCTCGACGACGACACCATCGTGGCGGTGCTCTTTGTAAGTCTCAAACCAGCCTTCTCCAACTCATCCGACCGGCAGCGCCGCTGGTCCGGTCTGCGAGCTAAAATGGCTGCATGTTTTTTTGCCCCTTCTAGGACATTTTTGCTGCCGGTAGCGAGACCTCGTCGACCACGCTGAACTGGTGCATGACGGAGCTAGTCCGGACCCCGGAGGCCATGGCGAAAGTGCAGGCCGAGGTGCGGGCGGCCTTCAAGGGGAAGAGCACGGTAGGCGAAGACGACCTCAAGGGGCTCAGCTACCTCAAGCTGGTGATCAAGGAGGCCCTCAGGCTGCACACACCAGCTCCACTCCTGGTCCCTCGGAAGTGCCGTGAGACGTGCAGGGTCATGGGCTACGACGTCCCCAAGGGCACGGTCGTGTTCGTTAACATGTGGGCGATTTGCAGGGACCCCAAGTATTGGGACGATCCGGAGGAATTCAAGCCGGAGCGGTTTGAAAACAGCAACCTAGACTACAAGGGAACAAACTTTGAATTCCTTCCATTTGGAGCTGGCCGTCGGATTTGCCCGGGGATCAACCTAGGGGTGGGAAACATTGAACTTGCATTGGCGAGCCTTCTATACCACTTTGACTGGAAGCTGCCTGACGGAATCGATCCAAAGGATGTTGATGTAAGTGAGGCTGCAGGATTAGTTGCAAGTAAGAAAACAAGCCTGATCTTGCACCCTGTTACTCGCATTCCTCCAGAAAATGTGTAAATAAGGTGGAGTTATGTAGTATCGTGTGGATCTAACAGTATGGCACTAGCCATCATTGATTGTGTGCTTAGATGGGAAATAAAAGTCAGGCTTTGGATTGTGTATATGACATTTTATAGGTCCTTATGTTGTAAAATTTATCTTATACAGTAAATCTTATTAGTGTATGTATGTGGGTTATAATAAAAATTACAGTTTCACAATGTGCCATTGACTGCTTTGATTACTATAATTATTTCTCTATCATGTAAACTTCTAACAATTTTCTTATGCCGGAACAGGTATTATTTGTTCTATAATTTTTTTAATAAAAATGTTCTACAAATGATAATAATTTTGTGAATTGAGATCAGCCTTGATTCGCCTTGAGTTCCAATTGAACAAATCTATGGATATGTGAGTTTTGTCTATAATGTTTGCCTAAGAATCCAGTAAAACGTTTCACTGCTTCGTGCATTGGCTAGTGATTTGTCGATCATGTAGCTCAATGGATCTACATTTTTCTACCCAGTAATGCAAAGGTCACACTACTAGAAAAACGACCTTTCATCCCTAAGCTTATTACCTGTTGCATTTGGAACCGGTACTTACATTAGCATTAGTACCGGTTCCAAAGGATACCGACTGCAGCGCGTAGCGAGGACCCCTTTAGTACCGGTTGGGGGAAACAACTGGTACTAAAGGGTGAGCATTAGTACTGGTTGTTGCCTCCAACCGGTACTAATGCTCCATGCACCCTTTAGTACTGGTTTGTGGAATCAACCGGTACTAAAATTGTACCCTCTAGTACCGGTTGCTGCCACAACCCGGTACTAGTGCGGAAACACATTGGAGATGAGAGGAGGGCGGGAAAATATGAAGGAAGGATGCATGGGAGAAGATATATACGTTTGCAGATGATAATGATACTTATGAGCACTCTGATGATGAAGAGATAGAGGAGCATTTGGTCTGTCAACGTATTTCAAAGTACCATGTCAAATCGCACTCGAGACCTCTCACCAACTCTTTGTGTGCAAAAGTTTCTGATGGTGATTATACGTATATACACACAGTCACCAACAAGCAAGAGGATGAAAATTATTAATTGATAGCCCAAGTGGCAGTAGAAAAACTTCCAAGATGAACCCAACAGACTCCCCTTCACATAGAAGTGCTAAGACTCCATACATCTTACCGCGATACACAACTCCGAATAGCACTCGAGACCTCTCACCAACTCCTCCACCACTTTTCACTGGCAAATCAGCTTATTATCACATGCATGCATGGTAGTGTCTTTGAAACAGGTTTAGGGCACATCACATTATGTTTATCATCTTTTGCACAACAACAAATGTGACCTTTGGAAGATAGCCCTCCTCTAAACTTGCACAACAAAGCTAGATAGGAAGATAAGTTGATTGGAAGATAAGGCGACCTGCGCGGGGGTGACCTTGTTCTTGGGCTTGCTGGCAACGTCGGGAGTGGTGGGCTTGGGCGGCGCCATGGCTAGCTTAGTTGATGCCATGAAGCTTCCACCAACAATGAAGGATCATTGAAATCATAACCAAGCATCACCTCCAAACTTCTTGTAACAAACTAGCCTAATTAAACTTTCATTAAGCTTAAGTGAAGTCATTAGAGCATAATGGAACCAATGAACAGCTGTGTATCCAAGTAAAATGACCCATTTGCCCTCACAAGCTAAAACACGTGTTTAAGCCATAACTCAAATTTTTGCTTAAGAACTTAAAAATCTGTCCAACTAAGAGTTGTAGAACTCACAAATTCTAACAACTTTTGTAATTTGCACTTTGCTTGAAACTGATCAGACAAGGGTCAAAATCTCGAATTACAAATCTGTGCTGAAAGGTGCAAATCAAGAAAAGTCTCAACTTTGGAGCTCTTTATTTCAAAATTTCCAATATAAACTCGAGCTGAATCCTATACAAAACATTTAGAGCTACAAACCATTAGTAACTTTGATTATTGGAGTTAGGCCAAAATATGCACAAAAGGGTTTCAAAAACAAGGTCAAACACACCTAAAATGGTCAACCCTGACAGGAAATTGAATCTCGCTAAGTCTGAAATTTTCAGTTTTGCCGAACTTTGACGCGTTTTATCTCCAAATCGGTTTGGAATCTGGGCAAAAACCTTTAGTAGAGTTTGAACTCGGTTGTTAGGACAACATTTTTTGTAAAGGGACCAAACACGGTTTAGTTCAAAAATCGCGCACAAAATCATCCCAAACCCTGCCCTATGCCTGTTCAATTCCTTGTCACCCCCTGTGCCTGAACGCCCAGCGCACGCGCGCGCACCGCGTGGACGCCACCGCACCGCTGCCCAGTCGCCTGCCGCGACAGCGACGGCCCCGACACGCTCAGCGCCCAGTCGCGCTCGCCCTGTCGCCCTCGCCCTCGCCCTGTCGCGCGCCGAGCACTCTGTCCGCGGCGCCGCTGACACCTCGCCGCCGCCTTCGCCCGCCCGCGACGCGACGCAGCGGCGCGCCCGCTCGCCAACCGCGTTCCCCGACAGAGCAGCTCGCTCGCACACGTGAGCCCCCGCCCTATCCCTGCGCCCTCGTCTGCAACGCCGCCTCGCCGCCCCGCCAATGGCGCCCGCCTCCATGGACGGCTGCCAGCAGCGCACCCCGCCCCTCCGGTCCCATCCGCTGGCCCCAGCTGCCAGCCAGAGCCCCGCGCGGCTATAAGTAGCCCACCAACGCCGCCTGCACTTCCCTTCTCCGTCCTCAGCCCCTCCTCGTCGCCCGCCGTCCACTCCACCGGTCAGAATCGTAGTTTCCCCAAACTCAGAAACCTTCCAACCACCACCACTGCCCCAACGTGGTGCCCCACCTTCCGACCACCGTCGTCCCCGTATAACGCCTCAAATCGACCGTAAGTGAGTCCCTGAATCTCGTGCTCGCGTGTTCTTTCCTCTTCCGTCGACTTTCCACGCTTGTTTCCGCGCATGCCGCCGGCCGTGCGCCGCCTCTCGCCGCGGGTAGGCTAGGGGTGCGGATTAGGGAGGTTGAGAGCAGGGGGAGATGCGCCTAGAGGAGGGGAGCGTTTCTGGGAAGTTATTGGGGAGGGAAGGAGCGCCGACGCACCGGCGCAGCCACGCCGCCGCCGGTTCAGGCGCCCCTGCGTGGCTGTCCCGTGCGTGACTGGAGGTTGAAGAAGGTGGAGGGTGTGCTTGCGAGAGAATAGAAAGCTTACGGGGTCCGATAGAAAGTTGCAGGCTTTATGTTTGAAGGTGGAATCTGTCCAGGGGTGTAGGCACAAAATGCAGGGACCTGTGCGCGATTAACCCGTGGACCTGGGGGCTAGATTGGAAGATTGCCTCGGTTTTTCTTTTTCCTTAGATAAAAAGGCTGAAACTTTGAAAATTCATAGTAAATTATAGAAAAATCGTAAAATAGCAAATGAAAATGTTTTGGAATCCTTGAGTTGTGTAGTTTCACAGAAAAATAACTTTGCACATGACACTATTGTATGTTGTCCTCTAGGTTTTATTTCTTGTTTAGGCCATTTAAATCTTAATAAATCAAAGAAAAATGCTAAAAAGATGAATCCAACTCTCAAGTGTTTGTTTTAGAGAATAGAAGCTTAGAAAAATAGTTGGAGCCTAGCACAGGTGTTTAAGTCACTGTTTTAGTTTTATAATTGAAATCTAAGGGTAGATTTTTCTTTTTGCATAATGTTTAATCCAGAGATGAGAAAGATATGAAACCACTTGGATTAGTTTAGTGATGAAGTGTAGTTTACAGGAAAAATATGAAACCTTGACTGAAACTTGATGAACCCCACTTTCCTTTTTAGAGAAAGATAAATAGGAGTAATATATGGAAAATAGATGTCCTTCACTAAAAATCATGAAAAATTCACCAAAGCCTCGGTTTCACCCCTAGACCCCACTGTTAAAATATCATCTCTAGATTCATTATGGGTTGTGACTTAAAAAATAGTTAGTTGCATTCTACCTTAGGGTAATAAAACATGTTTAATCATTTTTGTGCACCTCTAATGGACCCCAACTTTTTACAATAGCTTCGTAGTAACAAAGTTAAGTTGCTGGTAAATTTTCACCTTCATGTGTTGCTGTTTGGTTAGTCAAAAGAAATTTGGAAGATGAACCGGTTTATAAGCGATAAAGAAAACATTAAATAATAAAAAGGATAAAAAGGGTATATTGGAAGAAGCACATAAAAACATTAGGAATAGGATAACTTTCTGATCTTAAGTAACTAAACACGTAATATAGGTGTACACAATCACCATCAAGAAGGTCGAGTGTTAAATCATGAAAATGCAATACCTATGAAGCAATCGGTGTATGTGTTGATCTAGGAGTTGTATGTCTTGCGATAAAGTTTCTTTTGTAATAATATATGAAATGCCATTCAGATACTTGAACATGTATCTTGAATCATTTGCACTTGCATATCATGTAGAACTGAACATCGCCGACGACACCTACGAGCTCCACCCGACGCAAGAGGAGGAGGCCGTAGTGGATCTGTGTAACACCCCGGTGTTATGCCTGTATTTAGGCATTGCTAATCATACATATCGTGCATCATCAAGCATCCTATTCATACATGCGTAATCTTGCATATAACAATTGAAACATTGCTTCGAAACATACGAAACATGTTTGTGAAACGTAAATGGTACATACACTTATTATAGTTGTTTTGCCCTGATTTTGCTTGCTAGTTTAGTAGAAACTGTTTGGTTATGATTGTAAATCATCTAGAATTGTTTAGCACAATTTTTGGAGCAAGGTTTGTATTTGAATTATTGCCAAATTTTGCTTTAAAAATAATTCCCCAAAATTAGGGTTTTGAGTTAAAATTTGACTTTGATTTTTTTTTAATTCAAAATCTATAAGAAATTGGACTTTGGTCATGTAATCAAAGTTGTAGAGGATAAAATTTTGAGCAACTTTCATTTTTGGTCCAAAGTTTGAAACTGCTTTAATTTAGTCCAAAAATTCGTTTGAATGAAAAAGGAT